TGATGCTGTTGTTGTTGATGACGTTGATGATGATGGTCATGATGATGCTGATGATGATGACGACGTTAATGCTGCTGTTAATGATGACGTTGATGACGCTGACGACGATGATGCGGATGATGGTGACGACGACGATGGTGATGCTGCTGGTGATGATGACGACGATGACGAAGACGATGGTGATGATGCTGATGATGCTTATGATGATACTGTCGACAACGAAAAGATGGTGCTGATGAGGTTGATGATGGTGCTGCTGACGAGGATAAGGATGGTGATGCTGATGGTGCTGATAATGATGATGATGGTGATGACGATGATGCTTCTGCTGATTATGATGATGATGATGCTGACTATTATGCTGATGGTGATGATGCTGCTACTGATTATGCTGCTGATGATGATGATGCTGCTGATGTTGATGCTGATGACGATGAAGATGATGAAAGTGATGATGATGATGATGATGATGATGATGACGTTGGCGGTCGGATGATGATAATGATGCTGACGAGGATGATGGTGGTGGTGATGGTGATGGTTATGATGATGATGCTGATGATGATGAAGCTGTTGAAGATAACGATGATGACGATGGTGATGGTGATGCTGATGATGCTGCTGATGTTGTTGCTGATTATGATGTTGTTGCTGATTATGATGACGATGATGATATGATGATGATGATGATGATGATGATGATGATGATGATGATGATGATGGTGATGCTGATGATGATGATGATACTGCTGATGATGATACTGATGATGATGCTGCTGATGGTGGTGATGATGACGATCATGATGCTGCTGCTGCTGATGTTGATGATGATGATAATGATAATGATGATGATAATGATGATGATGATGATGATGATGATGATGATGATGATGATGATGATGATGATGATGATGATGATGATGGTGGTAATGATGACGAAAAGCAAGAGGGGGAGGAGCGGGAAGAGGACCAGGACACGAAAGACATAGGGGAGGAGGGGAGGAAACGGAGGGGGGATGCTTCCCACATTCGTTGCCCCCCGTCTTCCCCTTGTCCTCCGCCAGGCCCCCGCACGCCCCCTCGCGCGGGAGCCCCGGCGCTCCTGCCGCTGCGGCCAGTGCCAGGGGCTGGCGTCGGAGTCCCTGAGGCCGTTGCGCTCCGACTCCGTGGACTCGGGGCCGCGTCGACGACGTCGTCGTCGTCGTCCGTCGTAAGTCGCCGTCGCCGTCGGATGTGGGTGGGGAATCGTCGGTCGTCGGGTGTCTGTCCAGGTCCGTTGTCGTCGTCGTCGTCGTCGTCGTCGTCGTCGTCGTCATCGTCGTCGTTTTGTGCACCGTCGCTGAGGGGGTCGGGGGAAGAAAGGGCGGAGGAGGTGAGGAGGGGGATGAAGCGGCAGAGGAGGATAGATTGGATTTGGACTTGGTTGGGCTCGGGCAAGAGACGCCAAAGTACTCCAATCGGCGGATTGACCTGGAGCAAGCTTGACAGAGATCAGAAATCAAGGCGAGCAGTGCAGCGAGTCCACGCTGCTATTACAGACGGGTCGGACTGAGATTCCACCTGCTCTCTGGGCGCAGCTGCTTTGGCGAGTTTGGTGTTCGAGCCTCCTTCGGGGAGGGGGTCATCTCCACACGCACAGCGCCCAACACACACTTCGGTGAGGGGGTCATCTCCCAGCCCCGCGAACAGTCACAGCGCCCAAGACGGCAAACAAAAGCCCAGCATTACTTCCATGCATGGCTGGACAATATTGTGGGGCGTCTCACGTCCATCCTGGTCGTCATTATCTTCGTCCCATCTTGGTCCTTCAGCTCCTCATCCTCCCAGGGGATCGGGGCGGGCTCAGTGCAATCGAAACATGGCCACCATAATATGGATTCAGAATCTATCCAGCCCGGTGGGAGTGAACGCTTTCATGGCAAAACGTCAAACATTGCATGCTTGGGATGATCCGTTTCCTCTTCCGTTTCATCTTCCTTTGGGCGTGAACGGTGTAGAGCGTTTCCTCTTCCATCTTCCCCTTCTTCCCCTTCGGGGAGGGCTTATCACTGCTCACTGATCCCTATTGATAAACACCCCCTCCCCCACATGGCTGACAGCCAACCTGGAACCATGCGCCCCCCCCAAATCCCAATCAAAAAATAATCCTGGCGAACAGCCCAAGCATGTGTAACTGTGAATACCGCGTTGTGAGTACCGCTTTCGGTGGAGCTCCCGCTGGTGCCACGAAGCGTGTGAGGGGTGTGCCGAAATGGGTGCGGTGGTGCCATGCGAGCGCAGCCACTGGGGCCCTCGGTGGAGCTCCCTATGGGCCACGACGCGTGTGAGAAGTGTGCCGACATGGGCGCGGTTGTGCTATGCGAGCGCAGCCACTGGGGCCCTCGATGAGCTCCCTGTGGGGTCACGAAGAGTGTGAGGGCTGTGCCGACATGGGTGCACCGGTGCAAATGCAAGCGCAACCACTGGGGTCCTCGGTGGGGCTCCTTGTGGGGCCACGACACGTGTCTGGGGTGTGCCGCATTCGGCGCGGTGGCGCCATGCGAACGCAGCCGCTGGGGCCCTCGGTGAAACTTCCAATGGGACCACGTGGTGCCATGCGGGTGCAGCCACTGCGGCCCTCGGTGGAGTTCCCTAGGGGTCCACGTAGCGTGTCTGGGGTGTGCCGAAATAAATGCAATTGTGCCATACGAGCGCAACCACTGGGGCCCTCGGTGAGCTCCCCGTGGGGCCACGAAACGTGTCCAGGGTGTGCCCGGATATTTTTTAAAATTACCCCAGTGCGACCCTACCTAGAAGTTGGAGCCCCTAGGAACGCATCATTAGTTGCTATGCTATGCTGTGCCATGCTATGCTATGATCTGTTATGTTATGATATGATATGATGCGATATACTATGCTATGCTATGCTAAGCTATGCTATGTCATGCTGCGCTGTGCGATGCTAAGCTATGATATGTTATGATACGCTATGCTAAGCTGCGCTATGCTATGCTATGCTATGATATGCTATGGTACGCTACGCAATGCTATGCTGCGTTATGCTATGCTATGCCATGCTACGCTATGATATGCTTGGCTATGTTATGCTATGCTATGCTATGCTAATGCAGCGCTGCGCTATGCTAAGCTAAGCTAAGCTAAGCTATCACTCTAGGCAGAGCCTAGGTAGGAACTTACACACATGCTAATGCTATGCTGTGCTGTGCTGCGCTATGCTATGCTATGCCGTCCTGCGCTATGCTATGCTATGCTGGGCTATGCTATGAGATGCTGTGCTGCGCTATGCTATGCTACGCCATGCTATGCTATACTGCATTCTGCTTTGCTAAAGCTCAGCGAAGCTAAGATGAAGGTAAGCTAAACTAAGATAAACCTGAGCTGAGATGAAGCTAGTTAAGCTAATCTAAGATGAAATAAGCAAAACTACGATGAGATAAGTAACGCTAAGCTAAGGGGACGTAACTGGGGGAACCGCGGGGCGGATACTGGGGGAACCGCCTGGGGCGGGCCCCACTGCCCGGCCCCTTTAAGCAAACAGAGTAAGAACCCTTCTAGGCAGAGCCTAGGTAGGGAATTATGAATCGAAGCGTAAAAACTCGTGTGAAGTCAGGCGTTCGAACTCCTTGCAAGCGGCCATGTATGAACCCAGAGTGGCACTGTCTCAAACCAATGGGATGTCATGATCTGGCCAGCACATCCAAGCTGATATGCTTCATCGTAAACAGCACACGTCCAATCAAAGGCCCGCGGCGACAGGCTGCTCCATCTCTGAGGGCGGCGTGCAGTAGAGACTTCTTCTGCGGCCATCCAGGAAAAACGGCAAGCTCATTCAAGAACCTACGAAACAGCTCCAATCCATGCTCATCAGCCTGTCTCTCTGCCAAACTCGTTTGGAGACCCAGCCGGTATACAAAACCTTAGAAAAGATGGCCCCACGGCTGCTTACCAAGCATCGCCAATCGAGTATCAATAACACTTTGGCAACCCTGACTGAGTTGAATGCACCAGGGTAGTCGTCGTGGAAAAACTTGTGCAAATGCCTGTGCACCTCAAACCTATCCCGACAGCCGAATACTGTCGAACAAAGTTCTGCGTTAAAAGAGCAACTCCCCATGATCGGAACAATGTCCAACTTGCTCGGCTTCCACGGAATACTGGTGGTAATGGGCCCACACCGTATTCTGCGCACGCATCCTGAGGTCAGTCCGCAGTCTTGCAGCAGAGTGCTCCCACTCGGAGTCACGAGTGTGCAGATCAGTTCCTAATGGCAATGCAGAATCAATGTCGATATCCACCGTATTAGTGTTCAAGTCTGCCGAACCTATTGGGTCAAGCGCGACATCAATAGGCTCAACTGACCAAACCTCTGCTGCAATGCGTGAGATCCTGAGCTTCATCGCCTCAAGGGCATGCGTTTGCGGCTCGCTCAAACTGCATGCCGCGGTTTCTTTTGCAAGGTGCTGAAATCTTTCGGGTCGATGCAGCATCCTCGATGTACGATTCCTGAGCTGGTACACCAATAATACCTGTCTCAGCTCTCTCAAAAGCAATCCCGAAACTATCGCCAAAAAGGCACCGGATAAAACAAGTGCCAAACGTCTTCCCATACCACTGGGAACGCATTCGCTTTCATTTTTTTTCCATCAAGTGCGGCATTTGTCGTCGGAGTTCGCTCTGCGATCGCCACCAATAACAAAGTCTGAGCGCGATGAGTGCGAACGCAAATAGGAACAACACCAATGCTCATGATAACCGTCCTCCATCGTAATTGCCTTCGCATGGCCAATGCTCTCCAAACCCGTGCATGTCCCCGTAACTGCGACCGTGCATCGCCAGACCCGCGAATGCCGTCACTGCCAGCGCCAAACAGACAAAGACAAAAACAACGATATTGTAATTACCACACACGGGCGCCACCATTCTCGCTGCCGTTGTCACCAGGGACGCCGCCATTATTACCGCCGTGATGGCCGCCGCTATGACCGGCAGCGGAACCGTCCATGCCGCTGGGACAGGGGGCACAGGACTCAGCACCGGCAGTGTCCGAAATGGAAGCCGCAGGATACTTGCCCTGTACGGCATACCGACTCAGCTCGTCCGCCTCTTCCAAGTTCCCCATTGCATTCATCAAGCAGATCATCCCCCCACGGCATTGCCTCGTGCTCGGGTGCTCGGGCCCCAAGGTAGCTTCAAAGCCCTCCAAGGCTCGCCCGTACAACGGCTCTGCTTCAAAGTAGTTGCCCCATTTTTCAAGCAGATCGGCCAAATTGCTCACGGAGGCCAACGCATCTGGGCGCTCGGGCCCCAAGGTGGCCTCCCTGCGCTTCAAGGCTCGCCGGTACACCGGCTCTGCTTCAGAGTCTTTTATCCATGTCAGAAAACAGATTGGCCAAATTGCTCACGGAGGCCAACATATCCGGGTGCTCCAGCCCCAGGGTGGCCTCCTTGAGCTCAAAGGCTCGCCGGTGCGACAGCTCTGCTTCAGAGCACTTACCCATGTCAGAAAGCAGCCTGGCCAAGTTGTTGATGGAGCTCAACGTATGCGTGTGCTCGGGCCCCTAGGTAGCTCCAAGACCCTCAAAGGCTCGCCGGTGCAACGGCTCTGCTTCAGAATACCTACCCATTCTGTTAAGCAGATTGGCCAAGTTGGTAACGGAGATCAGCGTGCTCGGGTGCTCGGGCCCTAAGGTGGCCTCATTGCGCTCCAAGGCTCGCCGGTGCAACGGCTCTGCTTCAGAGTACTTTCCAGTTTTGTTAAGCAGAATGGTCAAGCTGTTGACGGAGCCCAACATGCTCGGGTGCTCGGGCCCCAAGGTAGCTTCAAAGCTCTCCAAGGCTCGCTGGTACAACGGCTCTGCTTCAGAGTACGTACCCATTCTGCAAAGCAAGGTGGCCAAGCTGTTGACAGAGCCCAACGTGCTCGGGTGCTCGGGCCCCAAGGTGGCCTCCTGGCGCTCCAAGGCTCGCTGGAACAACGGCTCTGCTTCAGAGTAATTACCCATGCAATACAGCACTGCAGCTAGGTCAGTGAAAGAAGCCAAGGTATCTGGGCGGCCGAAATGGGCGCAGTGGTGCCATGCGAACGCTGGCATTTGGGCCTTCGGTGGAGCTCCATATGGGGCCACGATCCTCGGGAGGGGCGTGCCGACATGGGCGCGGTGGCGCCGTGAGCGCTGGCATTTGGGCCTTCGGTGGAGCTCCGTCTGGGGCCACGATCCTCGGGAGCGGTGTGCCGACATGGGCGCGGTGGCGCCGTGAGCGCTGGCATTTGGGCCTTCGGTGGGGCTCCCTCTGGGGCCACGAAGCGTGTGAGGGGTGTGCCGAAACAGACACATGCGGAGGGCAGGGGCAGGGGTGGGAGGAGGAAGAGGAGGAGGAGGGGGAGCGGCACAAGGAAGGTGAAGTGGGACACGGGGCGCTGTCTCTTGAAAGCGATGACCCAATGGGAACAAAACAACATATACTTTGCTTCAAGATCCAGAGCATGCGCGGGCACTCCGCGACCACTTTGCATCTGCTTACAAAGGGACGGCGGGGATGCCAACATATTGTTTGCTGCGCGCAGGCCAACTACCCATGCCAAAACCAATACAACATACACTTTACCTCCAAATCCAGAGCATGCGCGGGCGCCCCGCTATCACTTTGCATTTTTCCGCGACGGTGGTGCCGCCATACTGCTTGCTGCGCGCAGGCCCACCGCGCCATGTGCACCTCGAACCTGCGGCGCACATGGCATGCGTAGCGCTCTTAGGCGATAGACTGAGGCTCGGGTGCTACTTGCGTTGGGACGGGAGGCGCAAAGGCACACCACTACTCCTACTACTACTACTACTACTACTACTA